TTTCTCGAGGGAGGGTTGCTTTTCTCCAGTTGAGATGACAGCTGCTTCCTTTTGTCTCATGAAGAGTTAGTTTTATGTCTCATTAGTTTTATGTTTCCTTTTTACTCTTGGTCTCACTTCCAGGACCAACCCTCCAGAGTCTGGTGACAAGACTGAGGTAGTTGACAACTCCTCTAACTTGACCCGATTTTCACTCCTACCTCAGTTTCCCTCGAAGCGAGCAGCTTCGGGCACACATGGCCACCTTTTCTAACCTTCTGTTTTAGGGTTTCTCCCCCAGACAAAAATACTTCAGGTTTTAGTTAAAGGTTAAGTTCACATGTAGATATTGGGGTTCCTTTTCCATGGCTCCCTCCATTTTGGGAGCCTACCCTGCTTATTTCCAGCTGCTCTGATTGCCTTGAACTCTGTCTGCTGATCTCTCAAGTCACTAAGGCCTCTGACAAGAGTCCTAAAGCCCTGTGCCTCCCAGATGCCAGAGTACTTTCAGCAAGAAAATCTATAGCTATGTGTTTCACACAGCAAAGAAGCTTTCTTTAAATTAAAATCCAGTTTTTGCCTGCTTTTGTTCCGTGTTTACAACTAATTTGTTCAAATTTCTTTTTTTTTTTTGCCACAAACCTGCACTTGTATTTACTTTTTTATTTGTGGAAATCACCCTAGTGTTATCAGAACTGAGACAATGTTATAACTTGGTTTTGGTGCAGTGTTCTCTGTGTTGCTAAGTTTAGTGACAGGTATTTGACTTGCCTCATTCCTATTTAGCTATCATGTGTTATTTCATTTCTTTCTTCCTATATGAAGGAGAATTGTTGAAATAGCGTGTGGAAGGCCTGAGGCTACAAAAGAGGGGCGCAGACCCTGACCCTCCCTTCTCAGTAACAAGCTGTTTGACTCTCAGAAGTAATTCCATGCCTATAGGGTTCCACTCTGCAGGATCAAAGGCTTGAGGGCTATCAGCAGTGTTCAGTGCTTTCACATTTATCCAGTGGAGAAAGAAATAGAAAAGAGAAACCGTATCCAAACAAAATAATCCCGAGTGTTCGGGAAACAGACCCCGACATCCACAGAGCGCCGGCCAGCACTCCAGTTTCCACAGAACTCTTGCATTTCGTTGAAGAACACTTGATCTTCATAGAGCTAAATCTGGAAATCTTCAGTATTGGAAGGCTTATCAGCCCTTTCCTTGCATGAGTTCAGGAACCACACTCCTAGAAAGAGGATTGAAGCACGATTAATAAAAACTCAGGAGTTTGGGGTTCAACCTGAGGATCCGAAAAGCAAAGCACCCAACCACTGGCTCTCACCTCAACCTCAGTCTGAAATGGCGGTCCTGCCTCCCAGAATATCAAAATGAGACTGTGTCTGAGAGCTGTCTTGCCCTGTCTTATATTCCTCTCTAGGGCTGGGATTAAAGACACGCACCACTGATAATTAAAGGCATGCACCACCCGATTTCTACGGCAACTAGCGTAGCTACTGGGAATAAAGGTGCATGTCACTGTGGTTACTGGGATGAAAGGTGGGTGTTACCATAACTGGTCAGGTCTGGAAGGCTGACCAGTGTTACTGTTTTTCTCTCAGATCTTGAGGCAGTCTGTATTTGTTAAAATACAACTGAAATGCCACTACAGGGGACCTTGTCCCATAGGATTTGAGATTGTCCCATCTGACCTCCCTTCTGCTTTTTTATTTTAACCAGCATCTCGCCTTCATTTCTGTCCTTTTCCACTCACTGGGAAGATATTCACTGTGGGTCTCTGAGAAGCTGTCTATCAAAGGGGTTTCCTGCAGTCGAAGTTACAGGTGGCACCAGGCACTGCTCCGCACAGCCCACGCCCACCTGTCTCCGCTCCCAGCCGATAAGATGTGAGCAATACTTGCCTCCACCTAATTGCTCTTGTGTGGGTGGGAGGAATTAATAAGCTCGGAGCTGCAGTGATCTTTTACATTTTTTTTTCTCCATCTGTAAAACAGAGCAGACAAGCTCGTGAAACCCTTCTTTTGCATTGCCAGTTGGTAGGGTTTTTTTTTTTTCCTTCAAATTTTCTTTTCCCCTAAAGAAGCAACAAAATGAGCAGGTGCTGGGCACTGCCCACCTCCAGACAATGCTGCTAATTCCCACAGAGCACTCCACCTCCAGGCTTGGGAGAAAGGATTAGAAGGCAAGGTGAGAAACACAGCCCACATGATCATTTTCATCTCCTACTATCTATCCTAGCCTTGTTTCGTCTACTGTTTTCCTCCGAAACGCCTGATGGTTGACTTTTACATCAGACCCTGAGAGAAAACAGGCACATTTGTTTCTTTGCATGTCAGTGAAATCCCATGTCAAGGGGCTTACACACAGGGCAATGCCGTGATGGCACTTGTAGGAATAACAATTCATGTCTGAGTATGCTCTGTGCCAAGCACAGGCTAAGTACAAATGCCTTGTTCATCTCCTTTAGTTCTCTCCATAACGTTCATAAATAGGGCATGTCAATATGCGGATGCTGATGCTCCTGGTGTGAAGACCGTAAATTTCTTAATGGAAGCTCTCAGGTTCAAATCTTGGCAGCTTCATTCACGTTCTTCTTGCACGTCTGACCTTGTCTGCTGCATCCAGACACTTGTGTTGTTCTGAACACTTTCTGTCTTGTCTCCCTCACCTGGAATATAAAAGCAGAATTTCTTTTGCTCCTCCTTAAACTAGAAACAAAAACGTATTAAAAATTAGAGTGAGGGGCATTCTGTGTCTGCTGCAGTAGGGACTTGGCACTGATGGGTCACTGTCACGTAGGCTCTCTGAATTGGTCAATTCCTGAACTCTGGAAGTGTGAGAAGCCCTCGGTTCTAGCCTTGCAGTGTGTAAATAAAGAAGGCAAAGCTAAGTGGTCATGCATCCAAAGGATGGCGAAAGACTCTGACTTCTCTTTCGTGGAGGGTGTTTACATATATTGCTAAAATCCTTCCAAATGGGAGGTATAAACATGTCTACCTCTCCTTCCAAGGTCCCAAAGACAAACCCAGGCACAATTAAAACAAGTTTGCTCTAAGAATCAATGAGTCTTTTGAGCTTCCTCACAGAGCATAGGCGAGGGGTTGCTTACAGGAGGTAACTGCCTTTTCTGAGAAGGCTGCCCTGGGAAGTCTTTACCCAGTAGGGATGAGGGATTTTCTACAGTTGTGTATGTTGAGGCCTCTCCCCTAGTTCTTTTTCAACCATATTCTCTATCTCCATGTGTGTGAACCCTCCCTGAGGCAACTGCCACATGCAGTTAAGGCAGAATTTCATACAACTTGTTGGGTGTCTGGATACTCAGGCAAGGGCCCTGTGTCTCTATCTGTTCTCCCTGTTCCACGAGGGAATCTCAACAGTTGACAAAATCCTGTAAGGATCTTTGGTGGGTAGGCTCAGCTGAACTCCCAAAGATGGAGGTAGTTGGTAGTTTGGCTTAGAAGACAGTCCTCTGTGACCGATATCAAAACTCTGTCTGCATTCTGATTGAATGAGACAAACAGAACTTCAGTTGAAGATGAATACATAGCAAAGTAATTCATCTACACCCAAGATAATTATGGAGTTTTTTTTTTTCCTGACACATTGGCAGGCTAATTGCTAAAGGAGTCAAGATTTTAGTAAAAAAAACCTACCCCTGTACTCTTTTCAGACATCTATCTCGAAAGGAATTTGAACTTGAAATTCACGTGGTGCTCCACCAAATTCTGCCTTTTCTTTGAAATAAGTGTCATAATTTATCCGAGACTGATTTTTCAGAGACTAAATTAAATGAAACCCAGATCAGCTATTTAGTTGTTGACATAGTTTCATTTCAAGGCAGGTAAATGGATTATTCAAGTGGATAATAGCCAAAATTTGAATTTTGTGCAAAACTCATTAGGAAGCGGGACTGGAGAGTTGTGTGGCCACACAGTTTATTGCAAGCACTGGAGAACTAGAATTGGTCCTGGTTTGGGCTGCCTATGGGCTAATGACTTTCCCTCTTTAAATGGGAAATAGATGCTCATAAGAGTCCTTCTCCAGCTCAAACAATGTGATTTCATTTTCCTAGCAAGAATGCACAGTTTATATATAAGATGTAAGAAGATTGATTTTGATTTTCCCTTGAGGAAGTATTGCCTTTGGAGCAAGAATCTTGATTCCCTACTAAAACTGTTACTGACTGCCACTAAGCCTTAGGCCCTCACTCACCAAATAGTCATGCTAACATTTAATGACATCATTGGGTCATTGTGTAGACTAAATAAGTGAGCATCTGTCAAGTACAAGAGGAATGCTTCAATCCTTGTCTTAGTCAAAGTTCTGTTGCTGTGAAGAGACACCATGATCATGACAATGCTTTGAAAGAAAACATTTAATTGGGGCTGGTTTACAATTCAGAGGGTTATTCCATATTATCAAAATAAGAAGCGTGATTATCATGCAGTCAGACATGGTGCCAGAGAGGAGCTCAAAGTTCTACATCTTAGCAGGCAGCAGGAAGAAAGACATTGGGCCTGGCTTGAACATTTGAAAACACCAAGTCTATCCCCAGTGACACACTTCCTCCAACAAGGCCACATGGACTACAGCAAGGCCACACCTCCTAAAGGTGCCACTCTGTGGCAACCAAACAATCAAATCTATGAACCTACAGGGGCCCTTTCTATTCAAACCACCACAACCATGCTGGAGGCTGAACATGGGATTGCTGTGACACTTGACTGGTGTCACTGTCATTTCCCAGTGGCATTCAGCGGCAATTGCAGGTTTCCTTCTTAGACCAAGATTGCTTTGAGATCCTTTGGAAGTCAGGTTTAGAGCAGCAGGTGCAGTTCTATTTAAACCAGATGCAGAGTGACAGGCCAGTTCTCCTGCTGCCTGCCCACACTCGTGTAGACCAGCTGCCCTTCTCACTGCTCTTCTCTTTCATCTGGGAAAGAGAGAACACAATTTTGGCAGATTTAAGGCTAAATGGTGAAGCTCTTTCTCTCTTCACTCAAAAAGTAGTCTAGCCATGGCTCTATTTCCCAATGTGATGACATTTGATGGTATGTAAAGTGCTTAGGAATAGGGGTTCTGTGTTTTGCTACTTTTTGTGTTTTGTTTTCTTACATGACTTACTGTTTTCTGTCATTGTTTATCTGTTCAGTGGGAATGAAGATAGTCCATGATCAGTAAATGGAACATACCAAGTTCCAAGAAGACTGAATGCTGAGGATATGGTAAATGTTAAGTTACTATATGGTTATTATATTGCTCTGTAGATTGTCAGCAACTCACTGGGGAAAATGTCAAAAATGTGTGTGCATATAGATTAATTATTATGAGTAATTGTCTAGGTAGGGGAATAGTCTACATTGGCATGTGTATATGAAATGAATGACTTGTGGCTATTTAAATTTTAAAAGCTGGCCTAAGTATACAAATGCAATTGTAGACTTGGGAACGGTGCTAAGGCATGTCTAAGTCAACCACCCCTCCCGTATGTCCCCTTGGCTACCTCGTAGGCTCTTAGCTGTTGTTGTACTCTAAGATAGAGGGAATTTAATTGTATCCCTGCTGATTTTTGGTTCTCTCCTTCATGTAGTGGCCCATACCATACCTGAATACTAAGCCCAACACCTGCAGGCATGAAGAGACTATTCATTGTTGGGTTTTCTGGTGGAATGCTATCTGTAGACCTTATTGGAGCATTTAGTGAGAGGTGTAGTTTCTTTGGACATTTTTGTGGTCCTAACATGGTGCTATAAGGAACCAGTAACACTGAGGTAAAATAAGGCATTCTCATGTGTGAATCAGATGCTCCATGAAGAGCTGCGAGGAACAGATTGAACGTCGATGCCCTTAGTCAGCAGTGATGGACTTAGAGGAGTTGAATGCTTACAAAAACATAAGGGAAATGATGGAGACATTAAAAATGATCCCAAACGAAGGACACAGGGCTTCAGAGATTAAGTAGGCCACAGTAGCAGCTAATATGAGCAAGCATTGTAAGGACCTCCCTAACACCCGTTACTCACAACTCTGTACTCCAAGGGTCTAGGTCAGGCTGTGTTGACTCAAATATGGGTGTGTAGCCTTAATTGGTAGCAAATCTGCAGCCATTGTTGGACTTCTATCTGACTTACCCTTTCCTTCCTTTTCCCCTGCTTCCCACCATCTTGTCTCTTCCCTCCTCTCCTCTCCTCTCCTCTCCTCTCCTCTCCTCTCCTCTCCTCTCCTCTCCTCTCCTCTCCTCTCCTTCCTTTTTATTCCAATATGGGGTAAAGGAAAGATGTTCTGATGATATAATATCTAGATAGAAAACTCAAAGATGAGTTACATTCTTAATAAGTCTAGATGGGAGACTGGATATAAGCATTCAGTAACAGAGGGCAGTGGATGAAGGTGTGTGTGGGTGCTCAGACTTGGGACAACACTAAGTATTCACCAAATGCTCAATATTTAACAAGCATTTGTACTTACTGTGTAACGAACATTGTTTTACATAATAGGATGACATCAGTTAACAAGGGAAGTGATAGGCTTATTTTTGTAGATGTTCTAGAGGAGAAGAGAGGCTAGAGATGAGGGCTAGTCAAGGGAGGATGATCAAGGAAGCTTTCCGAGTAGAAGGACAGCCCATCTGAGACCTGAATGGGAAGGAAGCAGCCTGCCTGGGAGGCAGGGAGGCAGAAGGAACAACAAAGGCAAAGGACTCAAAATCAGAATTATTCTGGGTGTGTTGGAGAGAGTAAGAGACTGCAAGTGTGCTGGTGGGAAAATGCACAAATAATCTAAATGGTGTCTCCTTAGCATGACTGCGATCAGAATGAACAAAGAGCAAGAAGTGGGGACCTAGTTTGCAGTTGGCAGGAAGGCTGACTGGTGAAGCCACTGGAGCAGACAGTTTGGAGGGTCCTACAGAAATGTAAAGGGGAGCTGTGTATAACCTAGCCGCCCTGTTCTGAGAGCTTCACAGGAAGGAAAAGCCATCTCATAAAGATATCTGCATCCCATGTCCATTATAGTGTAACAATATGGAAAAGGCTTGTGTTTCTTTTTTTTTAATTTATTAAAGATTTCTGTCTCTTCCCCACCTCCGCCTCCCCTCCCCCTCCCCCAATCAAGTCCCCCTCCCTCGTCAGCCCAAAGAGCAATCAGGGTTCTCTGCCCTGTGGGAAGTCCAAGGACCACCCTCCTCCATCCAGGTCTCATAAGGTGAGCATCCAAACTGCCTAGGCTCCCACAAAGCCAATACGTGCAGTAGGATCAACAACCCATTGCCATTGTTCTTGAGGTCTCAGTAGTCCTCATTGTCCGCTATGTTCAGTGAGACCTGTTTTAACCCAGGCTTTTTCAGACCCAGGCCAGCTGGCCTTGGTGAGTTCCCGATAGAACATCCCCATTGTCTCAGTGTGTGGGTGCACCCCTCACGGTCCTGAGTTCCTTGCTCGTGCTCGCTCTTCTTCTGCTCCTGACTTGGAAATGAGAGATGGCTAAATAATACTGTGCATATATGGGCGTGTATACATGTTTCTAAAAAGTGTATTGTTTAGCCTGAAAATGGACTGGCTTTTCCATTTGGCACAATATGGATGGACCCAGAAAATGTCAGACCAAGTGAAATAAGCTACACACGGGAAGAAGTTTATTGCATGATCGCACTTATGTAGAAAATAAAAATGGGAGTCCAGTGTATGAAAACAGAGGCATAATTAGGCTTTCCAGAGTTGTGGGGGGGAAGGGAAAGGGGACATGTGGTTCAAAGGATGCTGCATAGCAGATACGAAGGCTAAAGCTTCTCGTGTTAAAAGCACAGCCTGAGGGTCCAGTCAATATGCTGTTTTGTACTGGAGATTTTTATTACATAAGTAGATTGTAGTCTCCCTTGTCACATATTAAACAAGTAGGGATTTGAGAAAATAGGTCAGTTTTTCTCATTACAGCAAGGTTTTTTTTCTCATAGTATCATGTAAACCTCAAATATACCCAGTGATATATATGCAAATGTGTATTTGTCTACATGCATATATACATATTTGTACATATATATGGTGCAGCTGCTCATGTACATGCCCGTGTGCTCATGTGGAGGTCTGAGATTGATATCAGGTATCTTATTATTCTCTGATATATATTTTAGCAGGACCTTTTTACTGAACCTGGAGCTTATGAATTGGTTAGCTGTATTAACCAGCAAGCTCTGAGAATCTGCCTGTGTCCAGGCCAGCAGTACTGAGGTTACAAGTGCATGCTGGCACACTTGGTTTTTCACATTGGGGCTGGGGATCCAGAGATCGGTCCTCTTCATGCGTGCATGGCAAACACATTAGCCACGGAGCTATCTCTCCAGCCCCAGTAAAATACATTAAAAGCAGTAATTTGGGTTGAGTTGAGAAATGTTTAGAACATTTGTGATTCAAACAAGGAGAAACCCATACACACAGTGATCTCTCTACAATTCAGGAAAGCCTCTGGAAAATCCTAGTTGCAAATCTCTCTCCTCTGAAGGTTTAATAAATGCAGCAAAGACAAAGTGCACCTTTTCCAAAGAACTGCATGTTGGGCAAATGTGCCTGTAGCAGCTCTGCTTTTCCTGTTATGGTTCTATGCACCATCACCACCAGCAGGACCATTGGCCAGCACTATAGCTCAGGATGGTCATTGTGCCAATGATGGGCATCCTACTGTTTCCTCCTGGGTACCAGCCATCTCTCTCTACTTATTCTATGAGCTACCCTTTAGCAGGAAGAGTTCTGTTTTAAGAGTGCTTTAAATCCTTTCTATCCAGTTTGAGCTTGTTCCACCCAGGCTAACCACCCACACTTTTTTTCTCCTCTTCCTGGTTTGTCCATCTCTGGGTTGGATCATAGGGCGCACAGGAGACTCATGACTCTTGTTTATTTCCAGCTAACAGCTTTGGGGATGACGAAGAACCGTCCACATCTTCTGAGAGTGATGAAGATGTGACCAAGCAGTTTGAGATCTCAGTGTCCCGATCCCAGAGTTTTCGTACAGGAGCACCTGAGAAGGGAAAGACAACAGAGTTGGAGCCGAAAACAAAATGCAACCATTTGCTGTCCGTGCACCGAGAAGACAGTGCTGAAGTGTCTGCTTGTGAAGGTATTCAATTCAGCTTGTTTCTCCTGCATCTAGGCAAGGGCTGGCCAGCGGTGAGAATGCTGGTGGATAATTTAAATACTTGTGCTTGTAGAGCCCAGAGAGGGAAAAGAAAAGAAACCATGGAATGGGAAAGAGTCCACAAAGAATAGAATAGCATTTCTCCGTGCTTCTCATCCTCTTGATGCCTGGAGTCCTGAAAAGAGATAGATGCTGAACCCGAGAAGAATCTGGGAAACGCAGGTGATAAAAGGCTAGAGAGAATGGGCCCCATCCACTTCCTCTATGCCCACAGTGATCTGCATTCTCCTGTCTTCTTTCTCTCGTGGGGAGCTTGGCAGCCACAGTGGTGGAGACATCATAGTACATATTCCATGTTAACTTGAGAAAGAGAAACGGAGAAACGGTAATTTAGAGACTTTGATTAGGCAATGAGACTAGGACTAGCAGAAAAAGAACAAAGGCTCAACTAGCCAACAGGACCCTGTTTGCAGGGCAGGAAAAGCTTGCTACTCATCATGCAGTTAGACTTATTGACACAGCTCAACAGGACCTATTTTAGCAAACCACAACATAAATGGCTGCAGACCCTCGGCCCTCCCTCCCCGACTCTTTCCTGTTCCCTAGTGTTCCACTCTGCATTGCTTTCTTTCCACCAAGTAGGCAAATGCTGGCTAATGAAAGTTAATAGTAGTTGATTCCCTGGGAGTAGCTTGTTTAATTCTAAAGCTAATGGCCCCATTTCCCAGAAGCCCGGGCGTCTCGGGTCTGATTTATATAACTGGCGAAGGCTCAGAGAATGGAGCCAGCCATCCAGCCTTACCTTCCTGGAATCCACGGTAACTTATCCTTGTCAGAACTAGTAATTCTGAATTTTTGACAGGTAGTGATAGAAAAGATAAAATTCTCTCTATTGGACAGAGGACAGAGTCTACCACATTGGATGAGTTACTGTAAACTCTGAAGAAAATCCAAAGGGTTTTATAGAAATAGCTGCACGCTAAATTTGAGGCCATCAAGGCTGTGTGAAGATTAATGTTTGCATTGCTTATTTTTCCTGCAATTTCCTTTTATTCATCATCATGCCAGTGGAATTACTTAAAGAATAAATTTTTCTTTATAGTTCACCTCCTTTCTGTTTAGCTATTTTATTTTTACTTAGATTCAGTTTAATTGTAGACCTTTTTTTTTCCTGTTTAAAAGGGCATTAAAATGTTGGACAGCAAAATTAAATGTTCAAAATCCAAGTGAAATCTTTATTTGGGATGGGTTGCAGGTATCTTATCCTATGCTTTACACTGTTGCCAACTCATTCTTTCACTAAATAATATATTCGTTGAGAATCTTATAAATGTATACAATAGATTTTGATCTCACATACACCTTCAACTCCTATGCTCCAACAATATACCAGCCTCATATCCTCTTTTTTTTTCCTTTCAAACCAACTGAGCCCAACTAGTGCTGCAGACACGAACGTCATGGTAAGGCCATTCATGGGAGCATGGGTCATCTACAGTGGCTCAGTGAGCAATGACTCCCCTTCCCCCAGCGGCCATCACCTGCGGTAGCTCCTTAACTAGGAATGAAGCCTCTCAGACCCCTCCCCTATCCATGCTCCAATGTTGACTGGCTTGATCTTGTTCAGGTCTTGTGCAGGTAGCCTCTGATGCTGAGTGCCTGAGAACAGTGGCCATGGTATGGCCAGAAGATGGCACTTTACAGCATTCTTGCCCATGATGTGCTGATTCCTCTTTCTCCTGCGTTTACTTCCCTCCCTCTTCCAGAGTCCCTCCTCGTCCAGATCCCCTATCAGGCCATTCCCCGTGACCTCCCTCCCATCTCCTTCTGTATTTACCTCCCTTCCTTTCCCTAACCCCCACTTTGCCCATTTTCCTGATTATGTCACGTGTGCTATGCTATTCCCTTCTCTATTGCTTCCCCACATGCCATATCCTGGCAGTGATTCCATGTTTCTTTCCTGGTTTCTGTGGTTACTACCTTATAATAGTGTATAGTATACTACTATATGCTTATATCTCAAGATTTGGAGTTAGGAGCCACCAATGAAAGAGAACATGCAGTGTTTGTCTTTTTTGGCCTAGGTTACCTCTCAATAGTATCTTCTCTAGTTTCGTCTATTTACCTGGAAAGTTCATGAGTTCTTTTTTCTTGTAACAGAAGGCTTGAGTTCCAGGCAGAGTGTGAGCCTATAGCTTAATTGTTGACTTGTTGGGTGTGCTTTTTTGGTTTGGTTTGAGTAGTCACCTTAAAGCTAATTAAGCGTAGCTGCTTGTTACCAGCATCTCTAACTGCAGCCCGTGGGCTACATGTGGTCCAGGAGAGTTACAAATATACCCCAAATGCAAAATAATTAACTTATTTAAAACATTATGAGACATGAAAATATTCATAATTGTTGAAATAAGAAGCGGCGGGGCTGCATCCCCAACACCCCGGCCGCTTGGCTAGCTCATGCCCAAAATAACAACACACAAACGGTATTCATTTAAGAACTGCTTGGCCCATGAACTCTAACCCTTACAGGCTAATTCTCGCACCTGGACTAGCCCATTTCTAATGATGTTTGTAAGTACCCCAAGGTGCGCTTACCGGGAAGATTCTAGCCTACATCCATCCGGGATTGGAGGAGCTTCATTGCGTGCATCTGCCTGGGAGAGCTGAGCATGGTGTCTCTGCTCCAGCAGAGCTGTCGGGTCTCTCGGAGCAGAGCAGAGTCTGCCCTCACTTCCTCTTCCACCCAGCATCCTATCCTGTTTATTCCACCCACCTATCTTTTAACCTATCAGGGCCAGCAGTTTCTTTATTGCTCAGCCAATGAAATCAACAGATTGATATATGACACTCCCACATCACATAATGCTACTGTGGACTTTCTGAGTGTCAACTTTGTAGATGACAACAATGTCAAAAACTTGGGTATACCCATTGAGATGTTTTATAAAAGATAGATATTGTGTTTTTTTATACCCACTAAAAACAACTCATGTCTCTGATGTCTGTAGCCAGTTTTGTTTGGGATGATGTACCAACCAGACACACAAACACACATACACACATGTGTGTGTATTTTAAGAGTTTTCTTTCAAAAAATTAGCTGATCTGATCACACTGGGCAGATACAGAAATCTCCAGCTTTGGCCTCCCTGGAGCAGGCTGTGAGGAGGTAGTTGCAGGCTCTCAGATATGAGCTGGACCTTCCATTCTTAGATACAATTCTCCAGGGAAGCCTCAGTTCTCTTTCAACCTTTTAACTAACCGATTGTCTCCTGCTTCAATCACCTGCAAAATAATGTCCCATCAATTCCTATTAGTGTTTGAATGATTGGCATCCATAACCCAGTGAAAATTTCATACAGATGGACCACTGTGAATAGCAAGTGGAAATCTTTATATATGGTGAGATATAGAGTATGGAAGACAGTAACTGGATAATAGAGTTTTCCATTAAAGTGACTCACTCATAAATCAAACAACTTGAATACTGTATCTAATCACATCAATATATTTGATGCCACACAATTATGGCATATAATTTCTAAGAATCCAGGATCTATATCTGTGACAATAGGCTGTTACCTTTACATATGTGTTTAAGGTGGTGTGGCCCTCTGTCATTTAAAGGCAAGGGAACCTTTCTGTTGTATAGAAAGGTGACCTACTATTTCCTTTCCTTCTTGTTGCTACTTGACTTGTAGACCAGACTTGATATTCTAATTCATCCCTTGCTTGTCTGTCATGGCAAGTGCTTTGTTGCATTAATACAGTTCTATTTTTTCAGTTATGAATAATGTTTCAAGCCTTAAAGCAGCTGTTGAAAGTCCCACATTACTGATCTAGGTATTAACGCCATAGGAGTTAAAGTCACGAGACAATTTTATAGGGATAATTTCTTGGCAAAGTTAGATTTTGTGCTGAAGTCCTGCTGGGTGCTGCACACATTGATAGATGGCTCACTGTTTAATAGGACATCTCACTGTTCATGTATGTGAGGAATGGGTGTGCTAATTAGAGACTTAGGAGAAAATCCTGCTTTATCGTTGTAGGTTTTTGCATGAGAAATTTCCCTCATTCTGTCGTTTTGCTATGGCATTTAAAAAAGTGTCTTTTGCCAAACAACTGAAAGTATGAATCTAGCATTTTTGTGGCATCTTGTGAAAGCGTTTCCCAGGAGCCTGAACTGAATATTTAAGAATAACACAATAGAGAGAGGAGTTTTTCAGTGACTGGTGTGGTGTTGAAAAACTAGGAATCCAGAGTCCAAAGTTGTGCTAATTTGGTCTCCGTGAATAGTATTTTTTAAAAATATACATGAGAATGAATATATATTATATTTATACCTTATATATCTTATATTTATGATTATAGTTTATATATTATATATAATATATTTTTGTGTGTGTGTGTCTGTGCCTGTGTATGGACATGTATGTACAAGTTCGAGGCTGATGTTGAGAGACTTCCTGATCATTCTCTACTGTAGTCATTGAGACAGGGTCAGTCAGTCAAACTCAGAATTTGCTACTAAGCTAGTCTAGCCAGCCAATTTGTTCTGGGAATCCCTTGTCTCTGCCACTTTGACACTGGAATTACAGATGTGCCATCCTGCCCACCTAACATTTACGTGGGTTCTGGGCATTCAAACTCCTATACTTATGATTTCATGACAAGTGCTTAAGCCTTTGAGCCATTTCCAAGCCCCACATCATGTATTTTGAGCTTGAATCAATGTATCAGCCCTATATATCCTAGGTCATTACCGTCACCAAGATTCCACATGATTTTCTACCTGACTGCTTCAAGTAGGTACTACATGACTACTTTGGAAAGTCATTCAAAAGGTTTAGTGGAAATGTAGCAGCAGACAGACTGTGTGTGTTGATGTCTTCTTGGGAGCAGATGCTATACAGCTCACCTGAGGAACTGCAAGGGCACATAAGAGCTGAATTAGGTTGCCATTGGCTGCCTGTCTCAGTTAGGGTTTCTGTTGCTCTGACAAAACACCAGGACCAAAATGCAAGTTGGGGAGAGAAGGGTTTGTTAGGCATACACCTCCGCCTTGCTGTTCATCACTGAAGGAAGTCAGGGCAGGAACTCAAACAGGTCAGGGTCCTGGAAGCAGGAGCTGGTACAGAGACCATGGAGGGTCTGCTCACTGGCTTGCTTCACGTGGCTTGCTCAGCCCACCTTCTTATAGAACCCAGGATCATGAGCCCAGGGATGGTACTACCGCCATGAACTGGGCCCTCCCCTCATTGATCAGTAATTGAGAAAAGGCCTTCCAGCTGGATCTCATGGAGGCATTTCCTCAACTGAGGCTTCTTCCTCTGACGACTCTAGCTTGTGCCAAGTTAACACAAAACCATCCAATATACTGCCCTTCTCACTGTGTTTATGCTTCTCATATTCTTGCATGCCAGTTTGGGGAGTATTGAGAAGGACTGGGGGCTAAAGAGGTTAGACATCTTACCTGGGGTGCGGATGGCAGGGCTGAAAGCACTGTTTGGGAGAAACCTGTCGGGTTTGCTTTGTCTGCTGACGCTGAAGGTATACAATCAGATGGCTAGGGTTCTGAGACATATGGGGGAGGAAAGGAAAGACAAGAAGAAGGATTGGAGGCACTGGGAGAGAGGATGAGAAAGAAAAGCACTAAGTTTCTTATATGGGTACTGGACATTGGACCTAGGTCCCTGTACTTACAAAGCAAGTGTTTTTATCAACCCAGACATTCCAAGACTTGGTTTAATACTTTTATCTTTCTTATTTATTTGTTTGTTTGTTTGGGGGGGGATTCAAGACAGGGATTCTCTGTATAGTCTTGACTGTCCTGGCACTCACTCTGTAGACCAGGTTGGCTTTGAACTCAGAGATCTGCCTGCCTCTGCCTTCTGAGTGCTGGGATTAAAGATGTGCATCACCACCATCTGCCATAGCCATTCTTTATATTCATAATATTAAGGAGTAAGAAGTATTAAACCAGGGCTGCGGGGGTGTCTCAGGTTATAAAGTACTTGCTTTGTAAGAACAGAGACCTGTGTCCAATGTCTAGTTCCCACATAAGAAAGTGCAATGTGGTGTTGTATGCTTGTTATTCTAGGGATGGGTCAACCAGTGTAACTGGTTGGTGATCTCTTGGCCAGTGAGAAACCTTGTCTTAAAAAAGGTGGATTGCATTCCTAACAATGACACCTGATGTTGTCCTTCAGCTTCCACATGCATGGCCACACATACATGCCCACCAGCAAACACAGACAAACACGCATTCATAAAGTATTAAGCTTACTTATTTCGCATAATAAGCTAGTAATCTTTTTGAGTACAGGGACGTTTATCCATCATGTGGGCAGTCTTGTGTTTGTGGATGTTATTATTATACATTTTGTTGCTGTAGTCTTGACTGTTGTAGCTACTATTGTTCAATTTCTCTAGCTCAAAAGATATGACATATAATGTATTTGAAATGGTTTTTTATTGCAAATTTAGATTTGGATGGAACCAGCCAACTCAGTTATTCTGAGATTCTGTCTTATGAAGATCAGCCCATCACTACCCTCTCACAGTCTCCCTGTGAGAGCAGAGACACCAGACACCATGGTCCTTGTCATCAAGAGACTGGCGTGGTCCGAAGCCTCGGTCGTCCTTGTGTGGAGAGCATCCTGGAGGCGGAGACCGTGTTTACTAATCGGGGCTTTGAAGATTCCTATGCCACTCAGAGCTCCTCTGTGTGGAGTTCAGAGGCGAGTTGTTGGCTTTCTTTCCTTTTCTGGCAAGTTTTTTCTATCCTTCGTTTCATTACCATGTACTCCTTTCCTCCCCACGCCATCGGATATCTCTAGACAGGAAGTATTGCCTGCTTAGAAAACCTATTTGTCTAGGTGACCAGAGTCTCTGTGGATGGCAATAAAAGAATCACAGATACATTCTTTCAAAATGGAAGGAGCAAAAAAATATGATTGGCAGAATGGAGAAGAGCTGTCAGAATAAACTTTCATGGGGTTGTTCTCATACGAAGGGGCTTACAGATCTTTGGTGGGCCTGATTGCTTTCCTTTGTGGAAAAGTGGATGATGCTCTATTTCACCCCAAATCTTCAGCTTTGATTGCTAAAATAAAAATTACTGGATAATTTAACTAAAGTAAATGCCCCTCAAAATGAAAGTCCACATGAAATTGTAATGAGGATCCTTGTAGATTTGAGTTGAGCTGAAGGTCTGGGAGGTAGCAATGAGGGTAAAATTTCTCTGGCCATTGATATTGCTTTTTGTAATAAACATTTGATGGAAGATGCAACTTATGAATCTATCTTTTAATTAAAGCTTGTCTATTATGTTGGAGTAGGACTAATCATGACAACGATGGCAGCCATGATGGAGAGGGACCCCAGCTACTACAGTCAGGGGTTTTACATACACTGTTTTATCTCCTAGGCATTTCTGATTGTTCTTCCTGAGCTCCACACATTCTATGATTCTCCGATATTAAGAAGCATTAGCTAGTGATATTTAATATCTAATTTGAAATCAATTTAGATAAACATTGAGTAGTCAATATTCATATGACCCATATGATGTATGGAGATGCAAGTATAGAATGAATTGATTTCGACAACCAGAGGAAATAAGTGTGTGGTGGGGGGGGGGGTGAATCTCTCTAGAAGAACCCAAAGTTCACCATGAATAAATGCTTAAAGAAATGCAAAAGAAAATTGTAGAAGATCATGTTCCAAAGCCTTGCTGTTCTCATGTTAGTGGGAAGATGTAGGATGTGTGTAAGAATTCCTGTGTGCACATGATTGCATGCGTGTCCTGGCGCCTCTGTGAGGCTGTTTCTGCTGAGAGCCAGAAATGGAAAGATACCTGGTTTATGGTTTGTTAGAGCCTATCCTTACCACACAGGCACCCACAGCCCCTGGCTTTCAACAGTTTTGTTAAAACCAAAAAAAAAAAAAAAAAAAAAAAAAAAAAAAAAAAAAAAAAAAAGACAGAAACAAAAAAAAAAAAAAAAAAAAAAAAAAAAAAAAAAAAAAAAAAAAAGACAGAAACAAAATGCAAGTCTGCTCTCCCATGGTGTCACTGCTCAGCGTCAAATCGAATCCCACACAGTATTTAAAAATATTCCCTTTGTCTCCCTTGCTGCAAAAAACAAACCAGAACTATTTACCTGCCCGCTGATAACTCTGTCTCCCTGATAATGGTGCCATTAGGTTTGGGCTTGCCTTCTCCACGTAACCTCCCATTTCCCTGCCTCCTGGTGCTTTAATAGATGACTTATGCTGAGGGAACTGAATGTTCTCAGACTCCAAAAATACCCAGACAGCTCCGTGTGCGCCATTCAACCTCCTATCTATTTTGAGACAAAAACTGTAATTTGGTGCTCCTACTGTAGAACTTCAGATCCAGCCCAGGCAGTTCCCGTAACTGGCTGCTCTGCAGGCGTAGCTTGCCTCTTAAGCATTGATTTATTTGTCTCTTAGCTGTGTTAAGAACCTTGTCTTCCCTGGTGTATCTGGCATCCAGAACGTATCGTGGATCCATTTACTTTGGGCCACAAGATGACATCAACACTATCTTACTAAAACAGGAAGCCTTTTCAGTTTGACAGAAAATCTTTAAACTTACGGGGGTTTTGACAGTTTGATGCAAGCATTTCCACCTTAAAGGGGAAAATCAGGACAAGGGAGCTCAAGGAATCATTTATTTCGTCTCAGAAGGAAAGCACTCACGCGGTGTGGCTACCTGTTATGATCATGGATTTTCTAGTTTACCCTCAGCTGGCAAAGACCATTGACTTTCTCCCGCAGACCTAGGGCTTGGTAGGAAAAAAACGCTGGGAAGGTGGCTGGCAATTTCAAACGTACAGAGAGAGCCAGGTGGCCCACTTTTCTTCTCTGCTTTCTACTGATTAATTGGTTGGTCTTGAGAAGTTAATTAAAATCTGCCAAATGGGGATAAGAAGGAAGAGAGTTTTACCTTGCAGGAAGGTCAAACAGATTAGCAGTATTAACAGTACCCATACAAGGAGCTCCTTTGGTGGCCCGGTGGTAGGTGATGTGTGTTGAAATAATTAATTGCTATGAAAATACAAACCTCCACAAATCTCTGTCTCAAATCAACCCAGGGAGAGGCCGCGAAGCCCAGTTTTTATGAGCAATACCTGGGATTGGCCCACTGGGAGCCCAGCTGCTGCCCAGGGCTGTGCTTCGCCCAGAGTTCTCAGAGCAGTTGCAGCAGAGCTCTGCCCAAGACTCCTCAGATGCCTGCAAGTGCAGGGAGTATCATGGATAACTTGATGGATGTGCGGGGAGATCCTTATCACCAGGGCGTTTTACCTTGGCATGGGAGTAGATGGTGAAGCCAGTGACTCCTGCCTAATGTCAACAGCAGACATCTGAAATAGAATGTCAGGTCATTAGAGTACTGTCATCCAGCTCCCATCCCTTCTGCCTTCCATCTTCGTCTCACACACCTAATGCAATTAGGAGCATCTACAGTGAAAAGTTTGGCAGCTAGAAGTAGGTCATGTGGCTTAACCCAAGGCTTGAGATTTTGACTATTCAATACTAGGTAAGGTATGCTGTGACCCTGGGATTAGAAGGGTATTAGACACAGAAGCCCATTTTAGCTTTGATTTCCTTTCCCATGAAATGAAGATGCTAAAACAACAGTTCATTAGGCAGATATTAGCATCAGAAAGCGCAGTGTTTCCTAGTTGGGTAAAGGCTTTTGTTCCCTACCTTGCTATTGGGCACATTCTCAGTGGATGAGGGAATGAGGGGGAGGGAAGAAAGAAAAAGGTTACGGATGAGAATGTGCCATTGAGTTGGCCACCACCCAGCATTACCAGTCACTTTATCTCGTGGGACATACTTCATGAATTTATAACCTGCTCTCTAGTCATCTTGCCAATGGGAAAAAGTTTATTGTATGGAGTATTAATGAGGGTACATGCTGGCATTTTGAAACATGGTGGGAAGCGGAATACTTTCTAAGCTTTGGTACCAATGGACCAATGATGAGAACTGAGCGTTATATTTTATGCAAAGAAGCTAAGCGCTTGCTGGGTTGTGCCAGGCTGCAGTTTCTTAGAGCCCAGGTATGCTGTGCCTGTAGAGGAAAATGGAACAAGATTTGAGTTCAAGGGGAGTTGAGGTGTGCAAGAACTGCCTTTTAAAGTCTATTGCAGAGTTGATGTGGTACCTGACATTAAGAACTTAAAAGAGGCTAACTATTATGATTCGCATCTAAGCAAGCCATATAGATGATCAAGAGTACATTAAACTAGATGGGAGTTTTAAGGGGAGACAGGAGCTTGAGAAAAGATTCTGCCTTGGTTTTTCAGTTAGCCTAACTCCTTCGAGACTCGCTTCTAATATTATATATACTCTAGTCAGTTGTATTCAGAAGTCTCTATAGCAACGACTGCTGTCACTTGAAACAGAGTACCTCTGAATAGAAAGGCTCATGCATGATTGCATGTGCAGGGGAAAGGGTAGAAGAAGCTTCCCTTATTTTTCAAGAAAGCTGAATTTTCTTGGCAGGGTAATTTGAATCTTAAAAAGGAAGGGCATTTATTAGATGTCTCCGATATGTCAAGTGCACAGCATCCCTATGTAGTGGGTATCATCCTTATTTTACTACTGAGGAAAAATAATGGAAAGTATTAGGTGATTTGCCCAGTGTTATGGAGCTTATAAATATCTAAAGACCTGACATGTAAAGAACATTTGGTTCTACAGCCCCGTGTGCTTCCCCTATGACTATGTGGTAAAGTTCTGTGGATGAATGTGCATACTGAGGTATTTTATTATAATTTTTTGAAGCAGGCTCTGAATTAGCAACATCTAGAGTTCAATTCCATAGATAAAGAACTGATTTACTTTAAGAATGGGTTCACAGCGACACCCCTTTAGTTATAGGTAAGACTCGGGCCCTCGGGGAAAAATTAAAAAATATATATTGATATAGTGATTTGTTGGTGTTGTGGTCATTACAGTAAATTGTGTTCAGTTTAGTTTTCCAGTAAGGGCATCAGATATGAATAGCTACGTGCAAATTGATGGCCAAGAGTGGCATTCTGTAATGAGAGAAGCATTCTTGAAAAGATGTAACTCCATGCCAGTGTAGGGAATAGATAGAGAGTCTGGTGGGAAGAGGAATTTTCATTTTTACTAAAACTTCCCAACCCCACATTCTTATGTAGGCATATACTAATGTACACTCTTCAGTTTGGCCAGGACCCAGCAGAACCAGTGATAGAGTTAGCATTTTAACCCAGGTTTCCTGGCTCCAGGAGTGCTTTCTGCTGACTGCTGTGACTGATCTCTTTAGCCTTTCCTTTGAATGATCTGCTTAGACTGGGCTGGCTGTGGCCAACATCCCTGGCAGGCATCTCAGAAATGCAGTCTCTGGCCCCAGCCCTTGACTTAATGAGGATCCTTGAGTGACTCAGCTGGCCATTAGGGGAGAAGCTCAGCTGTTAGTCTTTTCTCTCAGGAAATTTGAAAACACACTGAAAGATCAGTTGTTTGAGGCCCCACCCTGCCCCCCACTGGGATTTTTGCCCATGGGAAGTTTCTGATTCGCAGACAGCAGTTCCAGGCTTAGCAATTACTCCCTGGGACTCAAAAGTTGCCTGTTGGCATTTACACAGTTGGTAGTTGACTTAATTAGGGACTTCATATCTCAGTTGGCTTCAACCATAGCGGGCACTTGTACTTTTTCGTGAGGCAGTGCACATTAACGCAACTCGAAAGATGTGTCTCGTTCATTTATTAAAAAAAAAAAAATCCTCAAAAACTTACCCCATGCCAGGCCCTGTGTTCTCCATGAAGTCACAGTTTGGAGAGAGAGGAGCTTAGCACTCAGACCTTTCCTAACACAGAAGAAGGCCATGTGTTGGCAGTCAGAAAGCTTGGGAGGCAAGGAAGCTCCAAGGGGCAGCGACCTGCTAACATGCTATAAGACATCACCATTTCCCGTCCTCATTTTTTGTTTTTCCCCTCTGCTTGTAACAGCAGCAGGATGGGACCAGTCTGCAGGTGCCACCCAAGCTCCTGGAGCCTATCTCAAAATGCGGTTACCTAGATATCATCTTTGAATATAGAGCCGTAACCCAGAAGCTCACCGTGACCATTGTGAGAGCACAGGGCCTTCCAGATAAGGACCGGAGTGGTGTCAACTCCTGGCAAGTCCATGTAGTGCTCCTGCCCAGTAAGAAACAGAGGGGCAAGACTAACATCCAGAGAGGGCCCAATCCTGTCTTCAAGGAGAAGGTCACCTTTGCCAAGCTGGAGCCCAGGGATGTGGCTGCCTGTGCTGTACGATTCCGCCTCTATGCTGCCCGTAAGATGACCCGAGAGAGGATGATGGGAGAGAAGCTGTTCTGTCTCAGCCACTTGCACCCAGAAGGGGAAATGAAAGTGACTCTGGTTCTGGAGCCAAGAAGTAATTTAAGTGTGAGTATATTAAATGGTGCTACTGCTGGTGTGATGTGTTCAAAGACCTGGGGTTGCCTGCCCTTGATTTACAATGTTCAGCTTGTGGATTCATAGATGTTAATTTAATTTTACATTTGGCTCTCCTCCTTGTTAGCAAGCCACGTTTGTGCTTCAGGCACACTGGGTCTTCCAAGCCTGTCATCTGGTACCTTGATGGATATATTCTCTACCCATTTTGGGAAATGATAGGGGCGGCACGGCAGAGGGCATGGGAAGACAGGGAGAGGCTTTTGACTTCATGGATAAGCATTCCTTCTCTTCCCATTCCCAGGATACATTATAATAATTCTCAGACATGGTACTCTCTTGAAACAAGAGTCTTACTACGCTGCCCAGGCTGGCCTCAAACTCATCTGTAGCCCAGGAAGCCCTCCAATTCAGGATTCTCTTGCTGCACCTTCCCAAGTGCCAGAATTACAGGTGTGTAAGCCTGCACTTGTTGAGGCAAGGCTTTCAACAAGCACTCAAAAGCGTCCTACAACAGCAACCCCAAATGCCTGACACTTCAGAGACCTTCCGTTCTTATGACTGGGTCTCCTACCGTGTGTCTTACTCCTAGGGCTTCAATAGCTTGGTGGTCTGAGAGGTGGATGGCCCCACTGCTGCTTTTGGTTATCTGTCATGCGATGTGAAGAGCTCCCTCTACAAAACTGTGTAGAAAAAGCAGGCAGTTGTGGTTAGTCAACCAATCAGTCATCCATCCGGAGATGTTTCCTGGCGTGTGCTACATAAGCCAGATAGCTTACAGAAGCAAGGAGACAGCTATTATCTCTTAGCCTAGTGGAGGAGGGTGTTGACAGGCAGGCCTTGGTAAACAGAGCTCCACAGGCTAGGGCTGGCTTTGAATGGCCAGGAGAGGGTTCTTTTGAGACAGTGAAAAAGAAAAAAACCCGAAAGGAACCCACATAGCTCAAACAATTGAGGGAACAAGACTGGTGACACGCGTGGGTGGATTTTCAAGACTAAGGGAGGCACACACAGGCATTGTGGAGGAACAAAAAAAGCGTTCCAGGAAGGTCCGTCCGTCTGAAGTTCTAATTCTGCCTGAACATCTTTATACTGGAAACCCTCATTTTTGCCTCTCTAAATCTATGCCACCTACTGTCTTCTGAGACCCGCCTGCTGGCAAGCTCGCCTTTCCAGTCGCCAGCTCCAAAACTGTAGCGCTCACCCATGACCTCTGAAAGCTGTGCTTTCTCTTTAGATATGAGCAGAGCCTGGCTCTCTGGTGGGCTAGTGGAATAGTCCCCCGCTGGTGGCCTCTAAATCTCTGCTGTTTTCTGACACAAGGGTTAGAATGAGCTCAATAAAGCACAAGCCAGATCATGTCTCATGCCTACCCAAATCCTTCCTTTACTTCAAATCATGAAATCGTACAGAACAGGATTCAGAGAGGAGTCAAAAAGAGACCCTGCACTGTGAGGTCCAGGCATGAGTGTGGCCACACCCATTCTTGTCAGTGCCAGACTCTGGATTGGGGGCACAGGCTGACGGGGAGAAGGAGCCAGTCTAAAGGAGGAAATCATCTCACTTATTATCTACGGTTGAGCATGGTTATATGCCAGATTTGCATCTATGCAGGAGGGGCTACTAAGTAATGGGCACGGATTTAAGAACTTGGTAGGGGTAGGGAAGCAGTCCTATGAGAGGCACCACAGTAGAAGTTTCTGTAGAGGTACAAGGATGGGCACCCTTCCTCCCAAGGATGCAAAGGCTTCTTTGTTGTACTTCTAACTTCTGGGCATCAAAGCCTGTAAGGCTCCCGTTGAACCCCCTAGCCATCCTGCTTACAAATCATGATCCACAAAAGCTCGGACGCTCTTACAGAAACACACATGATTTGGTTAAGATGATGCCTTCCCAGGACATGCACAGCATTTGATGCCTTTTATTGTTCTTGCCTATTGGGATGCTGGCAGGAAGTTTTAGAAAATAATTTCAGATACAGATACAGAGATAAGTCCCAAGACATTTGTGTCCCGCAGAGGAAGTGGTCTGCTAGAGGGACCGCTGGCTTGCTCTAGCCAGGCTGATGCTTGCTCATGCTCCTTAGTGAAAATCAGTGTCTTCATCTATCTGGTTCTCTTTGTGATGTGTCTGGTGCATAACAGTGGCACTCAGAAGTGTGCACATGAATAAACATGAGAAAAAACCCAGGCTCTCTCCTCGGTTCACCTGCTGCTGCCCGGGTCACCAAGATCCACAGTCCATGTATCTGATCCTCTACCGAATATCAGATAGTAAAAGTGCTCACTTCCTGTGTAGCTTTTTTTCCATAGGAGACAAAAGTTCCTATATGGAATACACTTCCTTAGCAGCTGAACCAGACACCAGGTGTTTCATATACTGACCAATACCCAGTGGCCATTTCTTTTACCTTTGAGACAAAACATCTTCTGTATTGCCTTATTCATCAAGAGTGAAGAGAACAGAGATAGAGCTCAGGCCTGGAGTGGGTAGGTTCCACAGAAACATTCAGGAACAAATTACACAGGAGGGAATCTTGGCCTATATTAAATGTATTATTCACACCCCATGTATCTTTGAAGGTTTGATTTATACTAGCAATAACATCTTTGTCCGTTCTCTCTTTAGAGAGGAAATATTGAATGGAGAGCACTCTTGGAATAAATATGTCGACTAGTACCACAGTCCATCTCATACATGGCTGCTTTTCCCAGCACATTGTAATTCATACGGAGTGCCCATTAGTAGTCTTAGGCAGTCATTAAGACCGGGTCACAATTTCACCAAACATAATATCAGCTTTCTCTCACAGAGAGGGGCGCAGCACGGGCCAATGAACTCTTTGTGTTCTTCCCCTCCAGAGTGGAGAGTCTCCGCTTAGCCCATCTGTGGTGTCTCACAGTGACAGTGCTTCATCCACACAGTCCCTGTCTCATGGAGGGGTGCCAGAGCTGTTGGTGGGACTGTCCTACAATGCCACAACAGGGCGATTATCTGTGGAAATGATCAAAGGCAGCCATTTCCGCAACCTCGCTGCTAACCGAGCTCCTGGTAAGTACGTGTCTGCTGCCCTAGCTCTGGCATCTCCAGAGGCAAGGGAATTCATCTTAATTCTTCAATTTTTTTTATGGTAAAAAAATAGACTTGGTATGGCTTGGGCATGCTTTCATGAAGCAATACCTCTGGCTTTCTTAATGGCTTCTATTTAATTAGAAGAAAAACTTCTACACTATCTAAATATATCTTGACGTGATTTAGAATGATGTGTGTGTCTATATTTCCAGAAATGTAAGATGCATGGGAATTGAAATCTGCCTCATACAGAGGCACAACCCTGTCTTTGGGGGGGGGGGGGGGGGAGGCAGACAACTGTGGTTTAATTCCAGCTCTATTGTTACCCATTCACTTTGCTCTGATCTTGCACAGTCAGTTTCCTGAACTCTTCTTGACTCACCTGGAAAAACTATTAATCAATACCTTCCTGATAGGAGTGCTGTGATATTTAGATAAGTAAATTTATATGAAGGACTTAGCGTAGTGCTGCATGTACACCGAGCACACAGAGATGTTAGTAATGGCTATACGGCAAAGGTCATAGATCAGGGGCAATGCAGGAAACTGATGACTTCTGAGGACACTGTTAGGAAGAAATGCTCGGGACAACATTTCCTTCCCTTGGATGGAAGTCAGGGTTCAGGAAGAGTAAATAACCACTGCTACCAGTGGCTTCAATAGCCCTTCAAACTAAGAAGTTGGATTATGGACATTGAAATGATACGGTTACAAAACTACCTCATTTTTAAAAGATCTTAGTTACCTGATAAAGAAGATTTGGAAGATAAACATTGGCTTTTGGGACCTTGTGTAGATACACCTAATTAGAGGAACATAATTTGCATCTGGCATGCTAGCTGCAAGAGAGTCATAAATACACTGCAGAATTATTTCTAGCCTCTCCTGAACAAGAAGGTGAATTTGAAGGTGGGAAAGTAGAAAGGAAGGAATCTGCTTCCCAGGGGAACTAGAATCTCATGAACAGAATGACAAAAATCCATACAATGCTGACAGTTGATGGGAGATGGAGGTGAGGAGTTCCTGTAGCTGAATCTGAGACTTTCATTTCCCCTACCCTTCGGCTGCACTGTAGACGACCAAGCATCTGCTTTAAGCGGCTATCTTGCTAGCCAAACTTTTAAAGAGAACTAAGGGGGCTAGCTCAGCTAGATAAGTCATGGCTTTGTAAGTACGAACACCCGAGTTCAGTCCACATAACCCATGAGAAATGGTGGGACACGCGTAGCCTCAGCACTGGGAAGGAGGAGACAAGAGGATCCTTTGGGCTTGCTGGCCAGGCCATCTAGTATAGCTCAATTGGTAAGTTCCAGGGCCATGAGAGACCCTATCTAAAAAGAGGTATATAACGTTCCTAAGGATGAAAGCTGAGGTTGTTCTCCATCGTTCACATTAATGTGAACATACAGGTGAACTTGAACACACAGAAATAAACATACTCCCCTCGATGCACATGCATTAACAAACTGTGTTAAAGCCAGCAGAGAAAGCCCCAGATCTTTGGGGAGTGGAGTAGACTGGGCAGTGTATAATCCACATTCCATGGTACCATTCAGGCAGGTGAGAGCTTTTTAGAATGTACAATAGGCACTGATTATTAATTGTAGAGCTAGAGGCTCGGATAGACCCAGCTTTTCTTTCTACAACAGCCCAGTACTTGCTAAGATCCTGATTTAAGACTCCTCCCCCAGAGCACCTGCCAATCTCCTCTACCCTGGTGCTGAGATCTGGCACTAGCTGAACAATATTTGGGGAATGTGATGGAAATGCAAAGAGCGATGAAGCCGTGGATCTTAGTCATGGCCCATCAGGTCCAAGGTAGGAAGCTCTCCTCTGTGTGCGGATGGCATAGCCAATTCAGGGAAGGAGTTCAGCATGGTAGCTGAGAAAGAAGCATCTAGTAGCTAACAAACCACACTGTAAGTTCAGGTTCTCCTAATTATTAGCTGTGAGTTACTAAGCTATTCTGAATTTGTTTCCTCATCTGAAAATAATATATATTTTTAAGTATGGATAATACACATAGAGCTGTGATACCTAAGATTATACCTTTGTATCTTCATATAATTCTATTTTAAAAGTGTGCCCAAAGAAGAAATTATTGTAATAAGTATTTAAACCTGAATGGAAGAAAAGGGTAAGTCTTAACTTGGAAATGGTTTTAATTCCGTCAGTTTAAGTTCATATACACAAGTGTAGAATTTTCTATAGGCATAGTGTCATGATTTAACTGTGACTGGCATACTTCATCTCTGAGACCAAAGCATTAGAAAGCAAGGCTGTGGTGAAGCTCTTCATTAAAACCGAAACCACGCAGTGGAAACAAAGGGGGTTTTGTCTGTGTAAAATGCTGGTTGTTGAGGAAAAGCCAATTAGGAAGGGATGAGAAAGTAAAAAAAAAAAAAAATTCCCCTGTGGAGCTCCTGCAAGGGACCTCCTGGTCCTCTCAAGGACTCGGGGGGGGGGGGGG